AAAGTTCAAGGGGGCCGAATACTTTTGCAAGCCACTGTAGCTACAACTGTGCATTACGTTTTTCTCCCATATATGAGGCATAAAAACAATAATCAGACTTTGGCTTACCCTCTATATTAATGCCAGAATATTTGCAGTTACCATTCTGTAATAATGAGGACACGTCACTGTGTGTGTGGGTATATATGTATGTATATATATATGCGTGTGTGTGTAATATATGATCATAAAAAATAAAGCCCTCTTTAAGCTGCATACTCCCCTCAAACCCAGGACTTAATCTTTTTAAATCATACATTATGCTCATAATATGCCAGCCAACCGTTACAAACCTTAATATATAAATATGTGCTGCCTAAGGGAGGAAGAATTATGGGTTGGTACCAGAAAATTAACTCTGCTGCCTACAAAGGCTTGTTTCAGAAATGATATATTACATTTGTTTTCATGCAGTGAAACACAGAGTGACACAGACATGAATGTTATACATGCAGAAGTATTCATTAGAGTTACTACAGTGTTAAAAGCCTGTTACCCTCAGATGATCGGACTCTGTCATGAGCAAACAGTGTGGGGTTTCTTGCTGATTAAAACTGTGATTAGGAGAATTTTTTTTCCTTGCCACTGCAACATCACATGTCCAGTGAGCCTGCTGGTGGGTTACTTAACCCCTGCAGACATCATGCAAGATATTCAGACTTTAAGCACTTAGATGGTGTTTGGGATAATGTGGAGAACACTCCAACCCTTTAGATGAATTGTCTTTATTTTATGGTCCAATCTCTCTATAAAGGCCAGATATGGTATGATTTTTTTTAAAAAAATGTTTGTTTATCGTTTTGGCTCAGGCGAGGATTCAGTCTTATGAGGATCACTTTCTGTGCTTCTGGCCCTTCCCCCCCACACACTTACATAAACTGTTCAGTATAATCAAAAATACACCCTTGATAGTCAAGCTGAACATGGAGATTAGTTCTTCTGAATCAGTTATTTTCCCAAAGCGGAGTGCTGGTCCAAGGAGGCGGAAGTGCGAACATTACAAATAAAAGCAGCACGACTGTGACATAATAAAGTTAGATTTGATTGCACAATGATGATAGTGAATCAAGTGCTTGCATGGTGGATCGATGCAGGCATTTGATAACAGCTCCAACTGTATTGAAGAACTCCTCAGGGTAGGTGGAGGATATTGTCAGGAGACCATTTTTACGCATTGCAGCAATCCTCGTACATCTGACATCCATCTGACTAGACCATGTGAAGTGACTTCTGAATTAGAAGCTGCAAACAAACTAACTTTGACTAACGAAGATAAAAGTGCACCATGGAGCAGGACATGAGGCGATGACACCAGACTTCCTGAATCGAAGATGCATAGCTATCTTGAAGGGTGATAGATAAAGAGTGACCTCTGAAATTTTCATCAACACTAATAACGTATTAGACATGGCCACTCGTGCCTTGATAAGTCTCGGTCTTACACAACGCAGTGCAAACGTGTTATTTTTTTTGCTGGTCTGCTGAAGCTCCCTGTCCAATGGATAGACAGCCACCTGAGAGACAACAGCAACATATATACCAAACCAATGCTGGATCTCAGCAATCATTTGGTGCTATGTAAAGCTATGATGATGTCAGACTGATGTCATTTTTATTGCATGGAATTAAAAATTCTAACTCTTTGTAAGAAAGATGGACACATTTTTGCACTGGTGTCAATTGGACGCACATCCTCACTTTCTTGTTCAGCTGGCTGGTAACTTAAGACCACACAAGGAACGAATTTCAATTAATCTGTGCTCGCCTCAGAAGCAGGGGATTAATACTGATTATGAAAAACCTAATAGAAAGAATGGCTTCTTTGTGCTAGCGTAAGGTGCAAAGTGTCGTGGCCCAAATGTAGATCATGCTATAGAGCACAGAGGGGGTACCCTCAGAGGTATTTTCCCTTATTGTATTGGCCAAATGCCCAGAAAGGAGGTAGTTATACTCCCAGACTAGTGTGTCAAAGTTCACATCTGCAGTCTGCCTGTCTGGGTGGCATTAGAAGAGTACCTTTGTACACACTTTCAAACACACACAGATGTCTATGTATTAGTATGTGTGCCTAAGCGTGCATGAATGAGAATGTGTCTCAGTGTTTTTCTTCACTCTGAAAGCTGTTAGTATAATTTATATATGGTGATGGGTCTCCCC